TTTGGCACCTCCGGGTGCCGAAGGGTGCTGAGATGACCTCCCTTCGGGGGGTGTGCCTTTCGCACCCTTACCTGCAGGCTTTCGTCGTTTGCTATGGCCGCCACTGTCTGAACACCACCAACTAATATGCCTCTGGACTTGTAAGTGCAATCAGTTGAATGGGTTGTGCCACAAGAAAGGTTTTTTCCACGGCATGAATCATAGCAACCACTGATCCACTTTGACATGGATACAGCCGGCGTTGGAGCATAGCTATGCTCGGGACCTGCATCGTGACCATGTTTTTGCCACACCGTGCAGTGGCCGCTGGTCACTGGTAAGTGAGAAGTGAAGTCCATTTGAAGACTTTTTAGAAACTTTGCTAGAGCACAAACCCGCGCTGCCATGCTCTTCGTTCGAGAATTCAGGCCCATTGATAGTCAGTAGTTTTCGTTTCACTTGTTTCACCATAGCACAGAGGAAAGACTACAAGATGGTGGAGACTCGCCCTGTGGGCTGTGGTTTGCGGTTGTTTGGTTGGTTTGGTTTGTTGTTGGGTTGTCTTTGTTCTTTTCTCCACCATCTGATTGTATTTCCCTTCCTTCAATGATGACCTGGGCACCATGCCCACACGGCGTCCGTACTCGTGGAAAAAAAAGTGCTGGTTCCGGAAGATTCGGCAGTCTCCACAGAGGGTGACCTGCCTGGTTTGAGCCAATGTCTGCCAACTGTGTGTTAGTAGGTTGGTTTTACTTCGCCGGACAGCTGCTGAGACATGGGGCCTGACACTCCGATCAAGAAAGGCAACTCAAGGGACGGATGTTTACCCAGAACAGGTGCTAAGGCACCCGCCGTGGTTCCTCAATGCACTGTCTTGGGGTCAGGGAAATTCCGTATGAAGCTTCTCATCGAAGGTGTCCGAATCTGGTCCTTCGGTGGGCAGCAGCTCCATCCATGACGGTTGCTCAAAATTATCACACAGCAAAAATGCATAGTGTTCTGCCTGCACAAGTCGGTCAATCTCCCCCAGGTCGAGGGGAGTGAAACATCTTAATTGTTCGCACCCACAAAAAGGCTCGAATGCCCATTTCCTGGAGCTCCTTCGGAATGACCACTTCTTATGGCGTCCGCACTCGTGGAAAAAAAATCCAAGACTTCGACAAGATCCTGGTCATTGGACAAATCGAGAATGGAACAATGCCGACTGGATGGCGCGTCAAGAAGCCGAATGGATGGAACGCCGACCTCGGGTCATCAGGACCGTCCAGCGAAGTTGGCAAGATTGGGATGGTGACCAAGAGGAAGAACATCATGATGATGTTGAATACACAGGAGAAGGAGGAAATGATACCTGACAAGACGAGGTCAACGCACTACGTGTGGCGCCTTGGAGAACATGTTCAGCGTACTCGCGCTTGAACCTCTAGTGAACAAGGTCAATGCAAGTCGCTTGACTCTTGAGAGTCGTAAGAGTATCTGCATGTGAACTTTCTACAGTTGAAAAGGCGCAAAGCTCAATCTACATCGTGGTGAAGATCTACTGAGTGGAATCTGAGCGAGGCAACTTTCACTGTCAGTTTTCACGACTTAATCTTGTATAGCCAAGAGGATGAAGTGCACGCTGTATATATATATATATATATGTAAAAGACCGCTTAGTTTGAACAGTGCTGTGTAGTCAGAGTCTAGTTTGATAGGTCTCGCGGCAAGATATAGCGAACCACTGTACATAGTCTACTACCCTTGAATTTCGAGTGTGACCATTGGTGATAGCGTCGGTCACATGGGGGGTGTCAATAGCAGTGGGACGACAGCATACCATATGCATGTACAGTATACACTAGCGTGTCACGCCTACAGTTGGCTCAAAACTCCCGTAGAGGAAGCGGGAAACAAGAGCGCGCCATTGCTGTCTACGAGGGAGAGGATAGTCTACTCATACTTCCCGTTGAGCAGATTAATTTCCACACGCAAAGTCTGAGTTGCAAAAACTAAACCTGGTATAGGATTGTCGTTCTTTGGTGTTGTCTTCTCACACAGATCAATGACCTCCCAATGACTTCCAACTTTTGCGATTGTCGTTCCGAACTTCCAAGCTGGGCCAAAAGTAGGTGAGAAGTCATGGTAGTGTCGTGAAGCAGTCAAATGACAAAGATTTCCACTTTGAAGAAATTGCCAACCTTTTACTAGTTTCGACACGTCCATCTTGAGTGTGACTGTTACTCCTCTATGCACTGTGCTTGCAACCCTTCTCACACAAGCAAGCACGCTCAAACTGTTCCGTTTGTAAAACACTGGAATTCTGCATTCTTTGTCTGGGGAAACTAGAATTCCTGCACACATTCCATGCAAACTTTCGGTTACAAAATTCCAATCTTTCTCTTCTTTTGCACCAAATGTCCAACCATGTTTCAACAGCCGTCCCAATGAAAGTAAAGGGTTTGTCACGTTTGCCACGTTTGCCACAATGAACTCTTCATCCAAAACGCACTCTTATTCAACACTGGTTTTTTGGAAAAACTTGAATGAATGTCAGCTGAGCTTTGCGCACTCCACCGACCTGCAGGGACTTTCCCTGGGCATCCTCAAGCCCAAATGATGGAACCTGATTCAAATCATGACCGGCTTCTGTCCCTGAAGGGATCTGCACCTGAATCTAGCACTACCCATTCTTCATGTTGAGCTGAGCTATGAACCATTCTCACACGGAAACTCTCCTGTTCCTTGTCCTTGCACAGCCACTCATAGAACGCGTCGTCAGTGAGTTGCTCTGCCTCAACCTGGATGTCTCCTTGATCAAACATGTCATAGTTCATGCAACTGTCAACCATGGAAACCATACGCCCCCAATACGAATTCCAACTCTCTGCTTCTGAAGCTTCGCTCATCGCAAACTCCTCTGGAAACCGTTCCGGAGGCGTAGCAACATGATACATTTTCACTCTTCTCACTGTTCTACCACCACCTGTCGAAGCTGTAGTTGAGCTATACACCGAACTGGCAGTAGATCTTCTCACTTCGTCCTGCTGTGCTCTTGCACCATTTGTATCTTCTTGACGAACCTCCATCACCATGGGAGTATTCCGATTGGGGCACTCATTACCCCAATGGCCACTTTGTCCACAGATCCGGCGCCGATCCGGATCACCCTTCTTTCCTTTGCTCTTTCCTTTGCTCTTGCCATATGATTTGCCTTTGCTCTTACCTTTGGTGCTCTTTCCTTTGCTTTTGCCTTTCTTTCCTTTGCTCTTTCCATAGCCTTTGAACCAAGAGCTAAAACCATTCCATGCATTTGACCATCCACTCCAACTGCCTTTTCCATTCTTGCCTTTCCAGCCTCCTTTACCTTTTGACTTGCCTTTTCCTTTCATTGCAACCTGGTCAACTTCAATAGGTGCAACTCCACTTGCATCGTTCTGTATGCCACCAAGTGAATTGCTCTTCGAAGTTTGTGCAACATTCTTCAAAGCATCTGTCATCGACCATGCTCTCGTCGACCTCTCATAGCTAAGAATCTTCTCTCTAACTTCTTTGTACGTTGTCCCTTCATCAACTGCAAAAGTCAAATGTTGTCTAATGCTGTCAGGACAAATTCGAAGCAACACGCCCAAAAGCACATCTCTATCAAATGCTTTCGACCGCAAAATGTCGTACTCTTGCACCAGTGCCTCAAACCCAGCCATCTGTTCAGCTAACTTCCCAACCTCCATCGTAGGGAAGTTCGTGATCGCCTGGCTCAAAGACAAAGATCTCTGCCGGGTCGCAGGTGCAAAGTGGTCAGTCAAATCTTTCCACAACTTGAAGCCATTGCGTTCTTCTCCTTGTGCACGAGAAAGTTGTAAACTGCATCCTTTCAAATACGATGTCAGAATCGCGTACAGCTTACGTGCAACGTCCCATTGTTCATCACTCCAACCATCATCTTCAATTTTAACATGGGGTTCCAACTTTTCAATGACTCTAATCCCTTCAAGAAATTGTTGATTTGAGTAGCTCAACCAATTCAAGAAAGAATGCCGCCAAACAATCCATGTCGAAGCATCACTCGAGTCAAAGGTCTCGGGAGATTTGAGGATCTTTGCAGCTGACTCGAGCTTCCGGGCCAATGAAGACGAAGATGAGCTACCTGCTGCATTCGAAATCAACTCAGGGAGCCTTGCCCTTGCCATGACGGTTGCAGTGTTTTCCGCCATCATGTTCTGTCTTTGTAACATGTTGTCGAATGCTCCCATCAACTGTGTAAATTGCTGTGCATCCATGCTCTCAGCTGTCCAACTGCAAAGGACCAAACAGAGAATTTGTATGCCTCTTCTATTCCTGTTCCAAAAATCTACGCAAATTGTCTGCTCCACACTGTCTCTTCTTCGTTTGTACGTTGTATCTACGTTTTCTCAGGCTCAAGCGCTTGCACCGGGCTTCTCCAACACGTGTCCAAAAGAAAAACTTACGGCCATACAACAAGACTTGGAGTCCAAGCTCAACAACTCTTCTATGTAGCCACTTTTCAGCTTTCGTCCACTCACCTGTCAGAAACCAAGTCACCGACCAAGCCTCAATGTACAATGTAGTGTTCAACCAACATTTCGAATCCTCCACAATGCTCAACCAATGCTCATGCCTCAACCTGTCAATGTACAACCAAGCCAACGACAAGCTGCTTTCAACGCTCGACCACTGCTCAATGATCAACTGTCCAACACGCACAACCAAAATCAACCACAACCAACACGCTCGACATGCTCGAAGGTATACTTTTTGATTTGTGCAGGGTTCCGTTGCGCGCCCCCGCACCCTGAGCTGCTCACCTTGGGCTCTTACGGCCACAGGATCCTCGCAGCTCCGCTACCATGTTAGGTAACGAGGAACTACATGCGCCCTTGTTTTCAGACTCAAGCGCTGCGGACATATGAGTAGTTTCAACTAGCTTAGCAAACAGCTCTCTTCTATACATGCTAGTGACATCAAATAAAGCTGACATCTTCGTTGGTTTGGTTGTGTGTTACTCAAACAGTTGTGACAAGCACAGCAAGAGACTTGAATCAGTTTGCATCCTTTTGTGGGCTTTAAATGGCCGAACAAAAGAACCAGGCTTGTGCCTCAGAAGTTTGACTGTCCAAGCATCGAATTGGCACGGTTTTGAACAGGTTGATGAAGAGTCTTCTGGTGAGGAAAAGGCCGAAAAATGGTGTTTTTGGACGTTTGCTGGGTTGTCCATGCCATACGTACAGACATGTGACAGAGGAAACATAGTCTGGTGCAGAATCTGACAACGGCAAATTCTTTTTGCAAGGTTCCGTTCGACAGCAGAGGAAAAAAGAAGACGAGTGGCCCTGGTCTGAGCATGTTCTTTAAGTGCGGCTCGCATTTCTTTATTGCTTTTTGAGGCGCGTCTCCGTTGCGGCGGCGAAGCCGCCATGCCGCATTGACAGGCAAGACGTTGTGAACGTTTGCATGTCGGACATCCAGTGCTGGTCAGTTTTAAATTTTCCATCTGTTCAGCTGAGACTTTAGGTGGCAAAGGCAGCGTGTGTGTCCCTATGATTCCTGGAATGACTGAACAACAGGTGCGGATAGGCATCATTCGTATTTTCTTTCTTGCCAAACTTGATGGTGGCTTTCATATGCTGTGTCAAGATCCATGGCGGCTGATAGCTTAGCGAACCCTGGTTCTCTTTGCAGGTTCAAGGTCTGCGGGAAGTCTTTGGTCTTTTCGATCCAGAAGGGCAGTAAGCCAAGGTTTTCAATAAAGAAGTATATGCTCGTTTCGTTCGATTTTAGTTTCAATTTTTTTAGAGTTTGGCAAACTTCAGGGCCAAAAGCTCAGGTCGGGCAGAGTCCGACCAGATGAAATCCGAACGGCCGCATCAAATGCTGGTTTGGAGAAAGAGTATCCAGAGGCCTTTGATGCCTTTTCAACACAATTTATGCACAAACTTGCCTTTGTGTTGGTAAAGCCCAACTTCTTAGGACTGAGAATTCATTCTTCTTATTATCATCATTTTGAATCAATGTACAATGGACTTCATTTCAAACTGCCAAGAGTTCGATAGGTTTGGCAACTGCTGGCCGGCTTGGAAAGCCATGAAAGTGTAGACTTCGAGGACGGCCGGACTCCATTTGGTGAGCCAAGTAGAAGCGTGGCAGGACAGAGCGTGTTTTGCGCAGGAAGGCTCCTCCAAAGTCCACCGAATGTCATGGCCATCCACTGCCTTTTTGAGTCCAAGTAGCGTTCTTGTTCCTAGTAGCGATGGCCTCCACCCAGTAGCGTCCTTCCTACTAATTGCCGCTTCTTGGCCCAAGAGTCGAGAAATATGAGTGACTCCAATCTCTGAGTTGGAATAGACCTCAAAGATGGCATCCTCGTCCTCCAGCAGCCAGCCAGAGGGGAGCTTGCCAGTTGTTTTGGGGTCTCGCCCTCGGTTCAGCAACTCGGATCTTGCACTGAGGGTCAAATGGAAGCTGAGGCGAACAAATCCACCAGTGCCGACCATCTCAACCAAGAGCATTCTGACCAAGACCAGCGAGAAATCAGTAGAGGCAAAGCTGTATATGACGCCTGCTGAATTTATTGTAGCGACACACAGGCTTTCCGCTTTTTGCTCTCTTGTTTTTGGGCTTGCCCAACATCCAGCCTTGGCCTGACTCTGCCAGGAAACTCAACAAACACAAGTCTCGGGTACACGAAGCGGAGACAAGCTTGGACACATGAACCTGACGGTCAGAGAAATGAAGCCGTTCTTTGCAGTAAATAAACCACAGACTATTTGTGAGGATACTGTAAGTAAGTAGAAGTGTCCACTTTCCATTGGTTCGGTCGATACAGAAATCGAGGACGCTTCTCAGATGGGCATTAAGATGGACAAACCATAGGGAAACGGTAAAGCGACAGCCCCGTGTCCAAAAAGACAAATAACTAGTTTGGATCACCTTGAAAAGGCTAAGACTTCTAGAGGGAGGTTTTAGTGTGGATTCCAGAAGAGGTTCTGGAGGAGGGTTCCCGATCGAGGTTCAGGAGCAAGCTTCTTTTTCATACCCGGTCATACCCCACCAAGGCAACATGGCCCTACCCCACACACTATATATATAT